CTCAAACTGACTTGCATACTTTTATGCAAATGAGGCCTACTTTCAGAAATATTCATTCATACAGCACAGAGGAGTGGTTCCCACACGCGCTAAATCTGTTGTGAGTACTATCAAAGAGAATGTTTCAAAGTGCACCAGCACAAACACAGAAACAAACAGATACAAAGAGGGGGATGACGTAGCTGGTTTACATTCAGAAATATAGATACATTTTTGCAAAATATAACACATGCCTTATGTCAATTTATTACATACTGTATTGTATATACAAATAAATGGCTAAAAATGAACAGTGTAAGGAGCCAATCACAGAAAGCAATCTGCATTCCACTGCACTGCTTTTACATTGTTTTTCTATGCAAACATGCGCTAGTGGTATATGTTTGAGTGTGGCGCTCTCTGCTCATATCTTTGCAGCATCATGCACGAGATGCGTCGTTACAATTAAAAGTTACTCACACCACTGTAGATTTTAGTCAACTAAAATCTTATGATATTTACAGTAGTAGTAGTAGTAGTAGTAGTAGTACTGTAGCTAACAAAACTGAATGCAGGTGTTGTGTAAAAATGTAGTAGTAGTAGTACTGTAGCTAACAAAACTGAAATGCAGGTGTTGTGTAAAAATGTAGTAGTAGTAGTAGTGTAGCTAACAAACTTAATGCAGGTGTTGTGTAAAAATAAAGCAGTAGTGTAACGAACAAAACTGAATGCAGGTGTTGTTGCTGTTGTAGTAGTAGTAGTAGTAGTAGTAGTATAGCAAACAAAACTGGATGCAGGTGTTGTGTTGTTGTAGTAGTAGTGTAGCTAACAAAACTGAATGCAGGTGTTGTGTTGTTGTAGTAATAGTAGTAGTGTAGCTAACAAAACTGGATGGAGGTGTTGTGTAGTAGTAGTAGTAGTGTAGCTAACAAAACTAGATGCAGGTGTTGTGTTGTTGTTGTGGTGAAGCCAACAAAACTGAATGCAGGTGTTGTGTAAAAATGTAGTAGTAGCAGTAGTAGTGTAGCTAACAAAACTGAATGCAGGTGTTGTGTTGCAGCAGTGTTGTAGTAGTAGTATTAGTAGTATAGCTAACAAAACTGAATGCAGGTGTTGTAGTAGTAGTAGTAGTAGTAGTAGTAGTAGTATAGCTAACAAAACTGGATGCAGGTGTTGTGTTGTTGTAGTAGTAGTGTAGCTAACAAAACTGAATGCAGGTGTTGTGTTGTTGTAGTAATAGTAGTAGTAGTGTAGCTAACAAAACTGGATGGAGGTGTTGTGTAGTAGTAGTAGTAGTGTAGCTAACAAAACTAGATCCAGGTGTTGTGTTGTTGTAGTGTAGCTAACAAAACTGAATGCAGGTGTTGTGTAAAAATGTAGTAGTAGTAGTAGTAGTAGTGTAGCTAACAAAACTGAATGCAGGTGTTGCGTTGTAATAGCAGTAGTGTAGCAAACAAAACTGAATGCAGGTGTTGTGTTGCAGCAGTGTTGTAGTAGTAGTATTAGTAGTATAGCTAACAAAACTGAATGCAGGTGTTGTTGTAGTAGTAGTAGTAGTAGTAGTAGTAGTAGTATAGCTAACAAAACTGGATGCAGGTGTTGTGTTGTTGTAGTAGTAGTGTAGCTAACAAAACTGAATGCAGGTGTTGTGTTGTTGTAGTAATAGTAGTAGTAGTGTAGCTAACAAAACTGGATGGAGGTGTTGTGTAGTAGTAGTAGTAGTGTAGCTAACAAAACTAGATCCAGGTGTTGTGTTGTTGTAGTGTAGCTAACAAAACTGAATGCAGGTGTTGTGTAAAAATGTAGTAGTAGTAGTAGTAGTAGTGTAGCTAACAAAACTGAATGCAGGTGTTGCGTTGTAATAGCAGTAGTGTAGCAAACAAAACTGAATGCAGGTGTTGTGTTGCAGCAGTGTTGTAGTAGTAGTATTAGTAGTATAGCTAACAAAACTGAATGCAGGTGTTGTGTAGTAGTAGTAGTAGTAGTAGTAGTGTATTTTTGTCCAGTATTCCTAAAGGAGGTCTGAGATTGAAGTGAGCTGGCAGGCGCACATGGATTGCTGCTTCACGCTCCAATGAAAATCAGGTCAAAAGTGGTCTGAAGTCACACACACACACGCACACTGAAAGTAGAGCAGACATAGCTTGTGTCTCCACAGCGCACATTCAGAATAAAAATAGCCAGAACTTAGAGAACTCACTGTGTATTTTCCATGAATATATGAAGATCGTGATCTGTATTTTCACCTGAGGTCTAAATGGAGCAAATGTGGCTTCATGTGTGATGTGTGAGCTGGCACAGCTTCCATTCCCTCTTGATAATAATGAGATGATTCAGTCATTAATTTGAAGGATGAAGAAGCTCACTGGATGAGAAACAGCTTGTGTAGGAATCTTTATAAATGGGATTGGATTGAAGGGGGCGAATATCTTCCCCTGGCATATTCCTTTTTAGATTCTCTTTAGAGATAAACACACTGATTCATTCTCTGTTTACACCCTAATGCTCCTAATCTGTGGAGGATATGCTGTTCAATGACAAATGCATGTTATAAAGGTCCCTTTTCCCACTTTAAGTCAATTTTAGATTATGTAAGGGCTGCAGTGAATCATAGCCCTGCTGATTTAACAGCCTTTCCAACTCTCCGACAAAATCCAACAAGTTTGATGTTATTGCTGATATTAACAAAATCTCAAACGTTATTTATAGTGATTTTAACTTACAGTACCAAGGGCATTTGGTGCCAAATTTGTGCCAGGAAGTTTCAGAGAAATGTCTCTCTCATCCATTCTTGATGAGTGATATTGAAAAGATGGTGAGATTTCCACCAAAATAATCAGTTGGTGTAATACTCACCAAATAGCTGTGTCGAAAAAGCCACTTTTGCAAATTAAAAACGTTTTTTTGCAAATAAATAAACCGCACATTTGAGAAATATGACCCAATCATTCATAGCCTATCGGTGCCCATAGCAAACAGGCTACATCTGCATGCTGCGCTGGACTGGAGGCAATAGGCAGAAAATCTTGAGCTTCTTCTCTCCAGTCTAACATTTGGAGAAGAAATTTTCCTCAGGAAAGACGCTCTTTGAAGTCACAGCTCTAAATATAACCCAGATATCCCTGTTACTTTGAGCTTTCACTGACACGCACACAGAGTGAGCTTTTGACTGGCACAACAGCGAAAAGAACAACAGTGACACACTTGTGTCTTAACTGTCTGTAAATTCAAGCGGGAGTCAATATAAGTGTTCTGGTTAGAGCAGCACAATATAACAAAAACACCAAAATCACAATATGGCTTGGTGTAATTGACAAACAAAACAAAATGTCCCTTTTTTCCTCAATAGAAAATCTTGTTCTGGCAAATTAAAGGAGAACTCCGGCGAACAATGAACCTTTGGTCTAATAAAACATCGGTGCCTAGTCAATCGTTCTCTGAGATTTGTTTTCATGATAATCGAATGTAAAGAGTTTTATCTCTAAAAACTGTTTAGCGTATAATGCTAGTAATGGGGGCATTGAGTAAGTAAAAATAAAGTAAGTGTACAGACCGTTTAATAAGAAGATACTTTATGAAGACAGTTCACTTCGCGTATACAGACAGGAGCCATCTTAAAAAATAGTCTCGATAAGTCGATCCCCGAACGCCGCTCATACAGTTCAGAAGTTTGAAGGGCTATTTTGAGCCTTGTTAGTGGTATAAACTAGCCATTTCTTTTTACTTAGCCAATGCCCCCATTACTAGCATTATACACTAAACAGTTTTTAGAGATAAAACTCTTTACATTCGATTATCATGAAAACAAATCTCAGAGAACGATTGACTATGTACCGATGTTTTATTAGACCAAAGGTTCATTGTTTGCCGGAGTTCTCCTTTAAGTTTTGGGCTCTAAAAATCACTTGATAATACAATTCAAAAATGATCACTTTCATAATCCAATCAAATCCAAAAGTAAAAAGTGTTGCAAACAGTATTTCAAGAAGCCTCAAAATATAAAAATCCCTGTTCCAGAAACACTGAAGACATTCTGTCACTGCAAGTTAAATCACCTGTGTTTGTTTGTGGTAAAGTCAGCGATCTGACATGATTGCGTGCTGGCTAAACACAGCCTGTCTAAAGACGCAGGGAAATCCTGATCCTGCCTGGATCTGTCAGCGCTGTGGAGGATTACGCTCATCTGATCTGGCATGTCCAACATATGATAGAACTTTACTCTAAGCTGTTAGTTAGATTTCCTCCTGCAGGAGAGACGTATGTGCCTCTTTATTCTTTTCATTTTTTTTTTTTTTTTTTTTTTTTTTTACATTCGACTGCAACTCGACATGTTTGACTTTAGAGGTAGTTCTGTCACCATTTACTATGGAAATGCAAAAATACAATAACATATCCTGTCTGCTCTATGCCACATAATGATATGTGAAGCTCCAAAGTGCTCCATCTGTGCTCGCCAATTACACAGGCTATAAGTAACTGAAACACACACATCTATCAAGGCTGGTCAGGGGTGTGGTGTGCCAAGAAGCTCATTAAATTCTCAATAACCTGGTGAGAGAGCCGAGAGGTAGGCAGTCGTGTTTTTCATCTGTCCCATCTCATGTTTGCTTTCATCCTTCAGTACACAAACCTCTTAATCGTATTAAAGAGAGGTGTCACAGATGACACAGTCGGAGAGAAATAAGAATTCTCTTTAAAACCCCATTAAAACACTTGACAAGTGGTTTTCTTTTCTGTCTTGGCCCTGTAATCCCTAAAGAAAGCGTTCTGTTAACTACAGCATATTTTTGATTTTGTAAATGCCCCTGAATGCAAGATAAATCATTAAGATTTGAACTCACTTGAAACACTTGTCAGTATGTGTGTATCTGTTATACTTTAAAGTGAAAATTAAAGTACACTAGCATATATGATCTCAAAGCTAATAAATATGGGCTAAAAATTTGATGGTGTCTGTGTGCAGTGTATTCGTAAAGCGCCAATTACATTTGAATTAAATAGACTTGAATTGTATTCCTCACCAGCAGTAGCAGCAGCACCATATCTGCATGATCACAGGCGCAGGCCACATGCAGGGCGGTCCAGAGGTCCTCATCCTGCAGGTTGACGTTCAGTCCCTTCTCTATCAAAATCTCTGCTGCGAACACATTGTCATGGCGGGCACACTGCAGAGACAAAAGAGGATGTAGAGATAAAGCATTCCCAGTCACAGTGGAGCAATCTAACAGGAATCTCTATATCCCAAAATATTTGACCAATAATGGTTTTCACAAATATATTTAATCGAACAGCTGATTTTAAGTGCAATAAGAAGAAATGCATTTTACCTAAGAGACCAAAGAAAATATTGGGCAATAGTAAAGCAACTACATGAGTTGATGTTAGATGTTTTACGTTCGGAGTTAGAACCTAGTTATTACCAAGTTAATGCAATTAATATTAGCACATAGCATGCAGAATAGGACTGTAAAATAAAGTGTTTTCACAATGTGTCTTGAGCATCAAATGAATTATCATGAGAACATGTTAAAGTCTTTGCAAAAATGGCTCTGAAAAACATTAAGTACACCTTTGATTTGACTTCAAGTACTTTTTGCACCCAATGTAAGTTCTTAAGTGATGAAATCTATTCAGATAATATAGCTATTCTACTATGCATTTAAATGAGACATTTAAATGGATTATTTTTTTTTTTACCCCTTTTCACATTAGTAATGACATTAATTGCACAGAGGCGAAATTCAGTTAGAGGTGCAATAATCAAAATTGTAATTAAAAAGTTAACTGCATCAATTGCATTGGGTATGAATGGCTGATTTCATATTTCGCACCATAAAATGTATTGTTTTCTGTTTGAGCATCTCTAAGTCCTTGAGAGTGCCAAGACTTAATTAAACTATATCCAATTACCACTGAAATTGAATTTGTTTCTGTTTAGCTGTACTATACCCTAGTGAACCCTTTACATTAAGTCTCCTATGGTCACAAAATGAACTAACAAAAATTGAATCATCCATCTTGCTTGAGTGTAGGGCTCACACACACTGGACCAGGTCTATTACAGTCAGTGTCACCAAATAATGTCAAATATTTCCCAGAGTTACAATGAACCAACTAAAGGGAACGTAATGGATGCCAGCCATTTAGTTGACGAGCAGGCATTGAACAGAACATGTAGGTGTGATATATAACCAGAAATTGTCCAAAAAGGAAAATTAATTAAAGAGCCCCTATCATAGCATTTGAAATGTTCCTATTTTTGTTTTAAGAGTTCCCAAAAACAGTTTAACGTGCATGCAAAGATAAAAAAAAAACACTTTATTTGTCTTATAATATGCATTTATTTTTAACTGATTTGCTCAACGACTCCCAAATGATTTGTTCGACGATTCATTTTCCCAAACACCTCCTTTGAGTGACGCGAATCTGCGGCGATTGGTCAAATGACCCGGTCAGTTGTTATTGGTAAACCGTAGGCAGAGATTGTCGCCAACGGAACACCCATAACCAGAATTATAGCTTGTCAAGTGTTGAAAATTGCATATAGTGTTTGAACAAAAGTTTGCACTTTCCACGCAGTCCCTTACTCGCGTCTTCAACCCTCCTAAACAATTCAAAAAAAAAATTTTCCATTTCAGTTTTGACCACAAACAGCCAAGGAGTGACCTCAAATGAAGTGCATTATTTTGTTATATCTAAACCTTGAACCAGTCAGGTTGAGTAAATCAATTTAATTTTATTCATTTTAAAACATAAAAATGGTCTAAAATGCCTGAATATCTTTAAAGGTGTAATATGGAATGTGCATCTCAGGTGTGGCTTCAAACATGCCTTGTCCATTCTTAATTTTAAAGTCAGTACATAATATACAATTATTTTAAAACTATGTAATACTTTGTAGAGGACCTCAGAAGTAAAAGGAACGGAGTATTGTGGCACTGCATTAAAAAGGGACAGGTAGAATTCCTGCAGAGGACATCAGAGTCAGAGTGAATATCATCTCAAGAGGCAATACACATGTATCTGAATTTGTCAGAGCTTGTCCTTATGTTCTTACCAGATGGAGCAGAGATCCTCCTGAGGAAATCACTGTGTTCAGGTCAGCTCCCTCCTTCAGCAGCCTCAGCACTGGAAAAAAAAAAAAAGCAAAGATTCAAAAATGAATACTTCACAAAATCTTTGTGATCCACTCTACACATAGTGAGGAAATGATGAATTGTTAGGATCTCTAAAGACACTGGAGTACCTAGAGTGCCGTCAAGCGGTCTAATGCCTACACAGGCTCCAGTCTCGTAAGGCACCATCCTGAATGAAATGGAATCTCGCAAGTAACTTCAAAACCCCGTACGGCGCACATAGATGGAAACAAATAGTACTACTTAGATGAACAATAGTTCATTGTTAGCATGTTGCTAAGCACACTAACACTGTATTGAACATTTATCATTTTTTGTTGGCACTGAACGTCTTATAACATATACATATCCCTTTGTCCTCCATCTTAGACAGATTTTTCACAGAGCGACCTTCTCCATAAAAAGTACATAAAATGTTGCCAAAATAATACTAGCCTGGTGTTTCACCAGACTAAAAGCCCATTAACACCAAGAAAGCACAATAACTATAAAAATGATAGTCACAGAGGAACAATATCGTTTTCTTCTAACAAATGAACGATAAAAAAAAACATTGACTGCCAATCAAAATCCACCAGACTTTAGTAAGCTAGATGCTAGATGCTAAGCTAGTAAGCTAAAGCATTTAAAGCAGCAAATGACAAAACCATAATAAACAGAATGCTAACATTCATTGTGGATGTTTATATTGACATCATTATTGCTATCTTCATACTAGGTATTGTTATTATTGTGAACAGGCCTTTATACAGCCTTGGTCTGTTTTGACCTTAAAGCCCCCGTGAAATCAAAATTGAACCTATTTACTTTGTTAGCGCATATTACTAGTCTTGTGGTGAACAATTAATCCGTGCAAGTAAATATATATTAAACAAATGTTTTACCTTGGTAATCTTTAATCAAAATCTGAACCGGTCTGGAACGGTTTCTTTTTCTGATGACGTAGGTTTCACAGCTTGGGTGGGGAAACGCTTAACCACTCCCCTCAAACCGTTCGTTTGCTATGAGCGAGAGATGGAGAGGAGGAGTGCTAGAGTAAAACCCTGCCCTCTGTTCAATATTCCGTTTCACTTGGAAATACGTCACAGCACTGGAGAAAAATCGTTTGCAACTTCCGGTTCACGGGGACTTTAACCATCAGACTGTTGACAGCCACTAACTGATTGTCTGTGGCAGTGTCTAGTGTATATTGGCAGTTTCATCCTGTATTTCCCTCTGGCCTGAATTCAAGTGCACTACATGACACACGGCTACCCTCATTGAATTTAATTACTGAAGAACCTATCAGATAGTTTATAATGACTCCCACTAAAATGCATCAAAAAGAGTGTTCCTTACATGACATTTACTGTAAATGAGCACAGTACAGAAGGGAAGGGACTCTATGTTGATCCAAAATATGATGATAGAATATAAATGATAAATTGTGCATACAGACACTCATACAAATGTCAGTAAATTCCTGAGGGATTTTTCAGCTTTATAGCGTGACAACATACTAGTCTGGAATTGTATCTCAAACAGGCACAGTGAGGAACAAAACTGCTTACACAGAGAGTTACAGAGGCTCATATCATCTCAGCCGAGGTTTAAATCACTAAAGAGTGAAGAAAAGACAGATGTGCACACAAAAAAAAAAACGTTAGCATCAGCAGGTTAGCCTACTGAGGCTATCTGGCAAGCACTCAAGCATATCGAAAGGAATATCTATTCAACGGCTCATTATGCAAGAAAGGAAGGCATTTTAAACAAACACACAAGGGGAAGAAGACAAAAACGTACTGTGAGAACGAGAACCAAGAACAATGAGGAAAAACAATGATAACTATATTAGCATCCTCACCAACGCCAAGGATCATTCTGTTTATTATGCTACGGTATGGCAAACTTGAGTTCTTTAAAGTCGGGTGGATTCTGATTGGCTATCTATGTTTGTATTATTTATCAGTTGGGGGAAAAAATAGTTCAGTGTTTTTGGTAACACCTTAGTTTGGGGACCAATTCTCACTATTAACTATTTGCTTATTAGCTTGCATATTGGCTGACTAGTGGTAGGTACTTAAAAAGCACATATTGATGACTTATTATGATGGTGAGTAAATTACAATTTGGTTACACTGTATTTGAATGCGTCCTTACAGACACAATTACATAATGTGTAATATTGATTAACAACACGGTTTAGTTTTAGTTGCTGGTAACAGTAAATTACATGTAACAGTCAACAAGGACACCGTTCTCCATTTCCTTGACAGCTGTGACTATGGTACAAGTATATTGGCTGCGGCAAGTGTGTTCTCAAACGCTAGTATGATGGATGGCTGAGAGGCTAAATGGGTGAATCTCAGAGATCACTCAGCAATCCCCATCAGGAAATTGAACACCGCTTTGGATTATACCGATCTGCCAACACAGGGAAATAAAAATGAAAGAAGATCCCAGAGAGGAAATGAGGCAGGGTGTAAGGCTTGTAAAGGACACTGTCTGATGTACGCCAAAGCAATTAAGGGCTATTCAGTCATAAAAGAGTTGCTATGCAGTGAGCCAGATTAGCTTGATGTTGCTAAGAAGCTAATTTTGTCAAGCACCACAACACAATGATGGCCGTGCATCTTAAATCACATGAACCTTCGCCACTGCAAAACATGCTATCAATGCTAATCACACAAGCCTGCCAGGCTCAAGTCTTGCCAGCTTCTTTGGAAAGATAAACTAAGACAGATCAATAGGTCTTAAACTAATAAATCTGTACCTGAGCGATTTCTGCATGACACACATATGTGCTGGACTCACTACTTGCCAGGACAGAGTGAAGGTTAATTACAATGCAACTATGAAATGATCGTTCTGGTTATACAACTCTACCCAAGCGTCAATATTATGCCCCACACAGGAATAGTTCCTGCCTCAAACAGATGTGCTTTTAGATGACCCCTGATGATGTGTTTGGACTACCTATTTATGCGTGAGAACATGCCCCACTCTGAGTAGTGGTGGTGAAGTAGAGCAGTTCATGCTAATAATATACCGTCAGCACTCGTTCATATTTATGAGGTGTTATAGCAATCTGACTCAGCAATATGCGTTGCTGGCTTGTACGTTAACTCAATAACACTGAATGCTGCAAAATCATCTACGTGACCTCCATTATGCTTTGGGCAACAAGAAGCCAACAGCTTTAAGCAAGGTGTACTACACTCACACTATTACTCAAACAATGCCCAGGAGAACAAAGTTTAAAAATTACGGCAAAACAAATACACTTAGCAACTACAATGAGCGAATACGACTACAGCTGAAATAGCTACTTGATCACGTAGTGTGCAAAAATTAATTCACTTTTAATACAGAAACATCAGTCCAATCAATGCTATTCACATACAATCCAAGTTACACACTCAGACCCATTATTAATCAATTTGGTCAATTTGTAGTCATTAGCAGTCAGGGAGCTTAATTTCACAAGTTTTTTTTTGCTCTAATGAGCACCAGACAAGTATCTCATACCAAGGGCAAATTCTTCATCATGTTTCAATCAATCTTGTTCACTTCACACAAGAAGCCCCCGCTTGAAAAAAAATCAACATATTAAAGCAACAATATTTATGGTCCTCAGATTCAGGAACATTACAACTGAAGAGTTCAGATGCAAAAGCCTCTAAATGCCATTTGAAATTTTCTTCTTTAATGATGATTTTTATCAAACTTGTATATTTAAGTTCAGTAATTTCACTTAAATTGCAATGATAATTACCTATTAATTGTTATTTAAGTGAAATTACTGAACTTAAATATACAAGTTTGATAAAAATCATCATTAAAGAAGAAATTTTCAAATGGCATTTAGAGGCTTTTGCATCTGAACTCTTCAACTTGTGATGGCCGCACTAGCAGCCACACATGGAAACTTCAACTCACGGTGGTAACTTCATTTGTTTCAAGCACATTACATATTGTACAAAATAAATAACTGGACACATACACATACTTTAGTTTTAAAAACAGTTTTATTAGTTATTTGACTTGGTTTTCTGTTTGAGTGCACATATTTAGTTAAGTTTGTCAATTTAGCTAATTTCAGGTTCATTATCTTTACGTTCTGTGAAGTTAATAGCTTTTCTTTTTGAGTTACCAGTTCCTGGGGAGAGCACTCCGGCTGGGTGACAGGCAAAAGGATTTTCAACTGACTCTCAGCTGTTTAAGTAGGGGAAAGGCTAATTGGACTGCACCATGTATTCCCATGTCATGGGGGTGGCAGAGTATTACATTTTTGAGTTTTGTTCTTTTTCTTTGCTATTTATATTTTGTTATAATTTATTTGATTGATTTGTCCTTAGTTAATATACGTTAGCGTTGGTTTGACATGTGTTGTAATCATTGTGGTTTGTTTATATATTATGTGTTTGTCTACCCCCTTTTGTGTCAGAGAGGCCTAATGTTTTTTTTTTTTTTTTTTTTTTTTTTTTTTCCCAATGTGATCACACCTATTCCAGTAGATGGCGATAATACACATAGCTTGCAAACTGCCAATAAAAGTCACAGAAGAAGAAGAAGAAGTTTAGCTAGGTCTGTTTTGTTTTGTTCAACCGATGTTAAGGTTGATGGCCTTCAATGGCCAATGGCCATTCTCATTGTGTGTTACTTGGCCCTGAAGAAGACCCTTTTCCAGTCAGTTTCAAAAAAGGCTTTTTAACCTTCACCTTGTCCTCATTATTCATTTTTGAGTGCCTGGGACCTGCATGTTGTTTCCTAATCACAGCATAATGAGTTCAGGCAATGGGATCTGGGAATTAAAGCTCATGAGTTAGCAGATTATGGACACTCCAGCAGGTGGATGTAACAACCAGAATGTTAGCGCTGCTCTTTACCATTGAATGCTATTAGCTCTAAAATGAGCTATTAGTCCATAATATGACTAAGAATCTCATAAAAGCATCCTAATATGATGTGAAGGCCCATACTCAGAATCTGTCTTCTGCATTTAACCCATCT